AACTTCCTCTGCACAAGGTGCTGTGTGACCCCGTCACAGAAACTATCATATTGGCTCCGCTATTGAAACCTACAGTGCTGTAAAAGTAGAAGGTTAGTGCTTGGCTGCTATATCCACAAAATAACGCGGGTATCCCAATGCGGAGTTAGGATTGCATTGGCTTAAAAAGGAACTAAAATTATACGTAGCGTTTCGTAGACCTTAGTTTTGCCGCTTAATCACAAACTCCACCTCTGTACAATGAGCTTACACTTTCTCGTAGTTGTTGTAATTGCAATTTTTTTAAGTGTTTTTTTTTTTCGAGACAGGCTCTGCAGCACTCCAGCCAGATGCACCAATCTTCCAGGAGGCAGGATCGACGTTCAATAGAATCGATAGTACTAACGAAGGGGAGTACAAGGAAGAGAGAGAAAGAAGGCCTCCGTGTCCACCCCAGAAAAGCTAAAAAATCACGTTCATGTGTTCGGAAATGACCCAGACACAGCTCCAGAGGTTGCTCAGCAACAGATAATGCAGGTTTAGTGTTCGTGAGGCTTCACCTTATGAAAGCTGGACCCTTAATGTTCTACAGTCCCCAGTTTATAACCTGGCTCCAATATGTCGACGACTTGAAAACAAAATCAAACGGCAATATATTGTTGCTGACGGGAACTCACAAATGAAAAGCCTTGCCACGAGACTACACGTTGATCAAGTGGAGCACTGCGTTGCCATTAAAATAGACCCCAACGAAGTTGTCTTTCAACTACTCAAACTTGCCGAGTAAAGCGCAACATTTTCAACTACCCTGAATTCACTATTTGGGTAAAATACGTGGACGAATTGAATGCAAACCATCTCGCAAAGCCCGTGTCGACGACCACCACTTTGAATAAACATTTTGTGTACACGTATCTTACGTAATTGGCTGAAAATGCGAAAAACGTGGAAGGGACCCGCCACCAAGGTGGAAGATGCAGGTCTTTGTGCTTTTCTGGCGTTTTGCCGACGTGTTCCCTGAGTTCCGCCGGTACATGAGAAACGAAATAAGAAAACTCCAAGTAATGCTTTGGCCTTGGCAAGGGAATGTACACCGTTTTGGAGAACCCACTGTTGAGCGTTTGGGCCAGATATTTGGACGCCTTTAATGTGAAGTATCCCGACAAGAAAACGACAATCATGGAGATTCTAACGCGCAAGCTCGGAGATAAAAAGATGGCGAGTATGCTGTCAGCAGCAACCACAAAAGCTACGACGACAAATATCGCCATGAGATTAGAATCTGACCTGGTGAATAAGTGGTTGGCAAATGGGAGGTCTGTCGAACAACGTCTTCGTTCTGCTCTGTCTTCATATGGCAACTTTGGGATTCTCCAGAAATCCACTTGTCAACGCTTGGCTCTTATTCGTAAATGCTATCGCTACTGAAACCTCCAGCAAGGTAACCGCGCTAAATTCGGTACTGAAGACTCACGTCGACGATCGATATCTGCCCCAATTCCTGGAAGCAATAGAAAATTTCCCAAGCATTGAGAGCGCTGCCAACAAGCTGCGGGGGGAACACGATGATTAAGAGTATTTTTCAAAGCGGGAAACCCCAACGGGGCGTATTCAAATTGCTTGCACTTGATCTTGTAGGAGATACCGTTGTCAGTACTCCATTGTTCAACAGATGGATGGGTTACGTGGAAAAGTTTCAACCGTAAGAACCCGGCCCACACAGAATCTTGGTTTCAGCCGCTGAGTTCGTATTACAATTGGCAAGTCGTAGACAGAATGATCGAGAAGGCGATGCAAGATCCAAACACACTCGAAATCGCCAAGAAAATGAAGGGTTTGTGGCATAAACACTGGTTAACTTCGACCTAGTTCGGCATTTGCTTTCATGCGTATAGACGAAGCAGACGGTAGCATACTTGCCCATTCGAAATTCCAAACCTGGACCAAGTACTTGGACAGCTTCACCAACTTTTATCCGAGGCAGCAAACCACAATGATTGATGAGAACTACGACGACGCCCGCCTGCTCTGGATCCTCGAATGCGAAGAAAAATCCCAAGACTGAGTTTACGACAGAACGACCTGACCAAGAAATGCAGCAAAAGAAACCGGAAGAACTTACAGCGATTTCCCGCCGTGCGCCAGGATTCGATGATATGATCGCGCGGTATAAAGAGAAGCTAAGGGAATTGTCACGAGCTGCTTCATGAACCCCAAAATACATGTACTGCATTCTAGAAAGAGCGGAGGAGCGAAGATGGTATAATTAGATATTCATCTTCTTTATTTGTGTTGATATCGAGATAATTTTGTCATTCGTAGGAAGGTAACTGGGAAAATTGGTGCGACCTCATTTGCTATCCTCACTTCCACTTTCGGGTTGGCCTGGGGATGGGGTAGAGCAATTATCGCTAATTGTAGAGTCGATATCCTGTGGATGAAGAATATCCTTCTTGTCGGCTGTGGCGTCTTCCAGGTTACCAGGCGTTTAACACTCGTCACTTACTGTAGTGTTTTGAGACATGATGTCGGCGGTGAAAGTGTCATTCGTCGAATTAACGGGGGTGGGATCATTATCACTTTCTGCATCTTCTGCTTGACAGACCTTGTAATTAGACGCTGGGTCCGAGTTTGTTTTTAGAAGAGTGGTGAGTTCTATACCGCTAAATAAATTTCTTCACCCACGAGTGCTAGCTTTTATCCTTTTTTAAAGCGAACTCAGGGATATTTTGGCAGTAGGATAAAATTGATGCGTGGCTGGGAATCTCGCCTTCACTAGCACAATTGTCGTAGAAACTCAGCACATCGAATTCGAAGGAAGTTGTTCTGTGCTTGCGTCCACCGCCCTTCAACACTGCCGTTAACACTTCCACGACTCGAGTATCAAGGATTTTGTTCGAATCCTTTGTACTAACGCTCGCTTGGAAAAAAAATCGACACAGAGCTTGAGCGTCCGCTTTTGTTGTAGAATCAAAACTGGAGAAGTCTGGAACAAACGGTCGAGCCTGAGAATCCCAATCACTGAGAACTCGAGAAACCTTTTGGTCTTCACTGGTAGTGTTAAACACGTACGCAAAAGCTTTGTTCGTAGAGGTCATGTTCCATGAACCCCGATGAAATATCCATTGAGCACCCAACAAACGGTCAGCGTTGGCATATTGAGCACCACCACGCCGAAATAAATGCGACGTTAGGTTTCCCGTCAACCCAGCGCGTGATTGCATCTCTGACACCGATTTGAGGATTCGGTTGATATATTCGCGCATCTTAACACTGGAATCCGGTTGCTTCTGTTTGTTCTTTGAGGCAGTAGTCACACCGGCTTCGGAAACACCAATCAAAGCATCTTCGAGAGAAACGTCGTCAGATAATTTGACAACTTCAACGCCCCCCATTGTAACATTAGGAAGATCTAATATCTGCATACCAGGACATTGTTGCATTACCAGTGCCATCCCAATAACATGCAGCGGACAAGTAATGAAACTGTTCTTGTCGGGAAAAAGTGACAGACCCTGTTCTTCAGAAGTCTTCACGCGAGTTAGAGGATAAAAATTACACCATCAGCAGTCACCGCCATACTTGACTTAGGAACAAAACTAAGATCCGAAGCCCGACCAAACGCATACCACATCACGCCAATAAAGCCGCATCTTGATAATCTTTGGCACTAGCGGCATCGTAATAGAGGCCGTCCATGAGAATACGCAAATCTCTTTTTGTGCACGCTGGTGCCTTCTTGATGTGAGTGTCTTCTTGTCGCGAAATGCAATAGTGCTCTATGGTTTGAGCCATCTTGAATAACTTTTTTTAGAATCCTACACGGTTCTTCGTGTAGCCAATTCTTCACTTGCCGGTAGTACGACATCACTGTATTTCTAGCTAGCGGCTTTCCATCGCGGCTTTCTAGGAAGGCCAGGTGAACAGCAAAGCGGTCCATAAGCTTGATGAAGACATTGCCGTTGTCATCACGAGCGAGTGTAGACGCAACGAATCCCATCGTAACGCCTTCGCAAGCTAGATAGCGATGAACACGTTAATTGCTGTCTTCTTCGCGCGTTGAGAGTTTACTGGGGCGAGATCTTGAAGGCTCATTATCTGCTCCTCGTGTTGCTTGTTTCAGATGTCTTGAATGTGTTAGTGAGGACATTTATACATTGTTGCGGTCAGACGTCGGCAAATGGCTGGATATGAATGATGTCACATTTTAACTGTAGTTTTCTTTACTAGTTGATCATATTTTTAATGGCACACCGACAAAATGCGTCGGCAAGTTGTCGGTTAGTTGTTACCCAGCCCCTAACGGTTTTATTGGCTAAAATATCTTCTATGCTGGTTTTAATTGGTAGATAGCACAAATGTCGTATTTATGTGGGCCCATTTGGTTTTCTTTAATGCAGTATATTTTCACTGTCGGCACGGTGACGATATTCATCCTTGTACAATACATATTGTGCTCTTCCGTCGGGCATTACACTCCCGGTTCGGGAGTCTCGAAGACATCCAGATGGGGATGCGCTTCTGATCACTGACCAGATTCCACGATTCAAATCCTCGTTTGGCTGCCTCTTGATTCAATAGTCTTGAATAAATGGCAGCAAAGACTCATATGCCAAGGCTTGACTCAAGAGTCTTGAGTCAAGACTTGAAATGTTCATTGCTTCATTTCACAACAGTAGGAAGAGGCTCCACTTTTGTTAACAGAATAAATGCTGGTCATGCGACTCGGTATCATCTCTGCTATCACTCTCTTGGGCCTCACGCAGCCGACAGATGCCGCATCGAGTTCGACAGTGGGGACGTCGCTGAACGATGTTCCACCCGTAAAACTTCATGTCACCTTCAAGCGCAAGAGCATGAATCTCCACGGACACTCCGAGTTCGATATTTATGCCACGCCCGTTGTGGCGGACAACGGCGCCAGTGTGCTCTACAACAGCTACGCGACGTTCAATGACGACGACTCCGAGTTCACGTACACTCTCGTAGACGGATCTGCCTATCTGACTACGACGGACGCCTCGGACGTTGAAACAGTTCAATGTCTCCCGTCCAACACGCTGCCGTTCGACGAGATTCTACCTGCTCTCAACATGGCCACATCCATTCCCAGTGCCTCCATCGGTGGCAAATCTGTCGACTGTGAGAGTGGAAAGCTATTCAAAACGACATTTGCGGGATCCCACTACGCTATTTGTGCGTCGGGTGAGGCTGGCTTCACGGCGTACAGTAGCGATTTGGACATTACTGTCGAGTATCTCGACGGCCCCGTTAGCGTCTCGAAGCCAGAGTTGACGACGTCGTGTGAAGTTGTTCAAGAGGCCACATCACTGACGCCTACAGCTCTCGCTTTGGCTACTGGCAGCAAGATCCCGTCAGGTTCTACAAGACAGCTAAGGCAAGAGTCTCACATGGCAATGGAGGCTACAGAGTGTAAAGCATGTCCAACTACTCCTCGTCCGTGCATCTTCCTACACGGGTTGGGTAACCCCAACGACGTGGCGGAGTTGCAGGACACTCCGAAGCTAACGAGACGTAAGTTCGGTGACATGCACGGCCACGCTCCTTGCTGTTCCGAGATCAAGTATGCTGTGATGAATACCAAGGATGCTGGCTGGAGGAACGACACTCTACAGCACAAATATTGTGACTTCGCTCTCTCCATGAGCAAAACCAGCGACGTCGCTACTGGGACCATCGACAGGACAATTATCGTAACACATTCGATGGGTGGACTCGTTCTGGCTCACGCTCTCGCAACGGGGAAATGCCGGTTCAGTGACACAACATCGTGGGTGTCACTGAGTCCCCCGATGACAGGCAGTATGGCTGTGGACTATCTCATGGGTGCCTGTCATAATGGAACCAGCGGTATTACCGAGAAGCTGTACGACTTAGTCGGCCAGTGTCCACTAAACACGGCGCGCAAATCAACAATTTATCAGGGTGGAGAGTTCAGCTCTCCGTCCATCGATGCAGCTTACGTAGCTGCTCAAAAAGCGTATCGTGATAATGTGGCAGCAGCAATGTGCAGTGACAGCTATGTCGGTCTTTTCTCGACGTACCAACCCAAATGCATCCTGGCTGGAACGGTGATTCCTCACAAATCCAAGAAAAACGACGCCCTCGTCGAGTTTAATAGCTGTCTGGGCGGTCTTGACGAAAATCTCTTTGGCAACCACTACTTGGATACATTCTACAGACCGCAGTTAAACCATGCAGATACGGCTTTTCTAAATGGAGATGGTCTACTCAAGAATTCGCAGAAACCTAAAAAGTGGTTCGAGTGCCTGCAGTTGTAGCTGATAGTTTGGTAAAGGAGAAGTTAATTTTTTTTATTCCAAGTACTTTAAAGCATGATTTTTAAGTCGTGCATCGAGTCCAGCAACTCACAACGTGATGAACTCAGAAATGTGCTGGTGTGATTCTTGTACTTTGTGTTGGTGTAACATTAGTAGTCGCTGAAGCTTGATACATCGCAGGTGAGTTTGCAGTTTCGACTGGAAGAGTTCGAGTGCTTCGCTCAACGATTCCACATCTTTGGGACCAATCTGAGCATTTCCACTAAGCAGGAGCTCCTTCAATGTGGAATTACCAGGGGCATACTGTACGCCATCAACTGTCTCCAGGACTGGTAGACCCAGCTGTGCAATGGCCGTCGCGCGGTCAATCTTTTTCCTGGCTTTCTTTGCTTGCTCCATCTTACAAACCAGGGGAAGCATAAGAAACTAAGTCGCTAAATGCACCAACTTCTACCTTACCTGGGCGTGTATTTGGCTTTCGGCTGCTTCAAGTTCTGAGATGAGTTCCGGTGGCGCGGCATATCTCGTCAACCCGTCCACCAGCAGCTTGGCTCTAAAGCAAAATAAACCATTAATACAAATTGGTTACTTGCATTCGAGGCAAGTAATGTAGCGTACCCACGTCCGGAGATTCTGTTGTTGGCAAGTGAAAGTGTCTTAAGAGTTGTGTTAAACGGCAGTGCGTAGGCGAAGGCACGTGCACCAGCATCGTCGATGGAGTTTTGGAATAGATTAAGAGCTTCAAGTGTCTTATTCGTGCGCAGTGCTTTTGCAAGTGCCACTACTCCTCTCGAGGTTATCCCGTTCGCTCGTAGCGACAGGAATATCAACGCAGAACTCTCACTTAACAACTGAGCAAACATCTCCGATGAGTCATTTCCACCTGATTGGAGATCCTCCTGCACTCTCAGCTCAGGACTATGGTCCTCAGTTGCGTTGCTTTCAGTAGAATGTAGTGAATTCCATTCCAATTGAAGTGCAGTCACGTGTGTCTTCGGTATCGTCGAGCACACTAATTGTAGTTGTTCCTTGTTCAGTCCTACGTTAAAGAGGCTAGTACCCAGTAAGTTCTAAATTCAACTGAGATATAATACCGATCATTACATACCAGACTGAACGAACTTTCGAGAGCGGGAGCGCGTAGCACATGGCCCGGCAGTTCCCGTCATCGAGTTGCCAATGTTTGATCGAAATCTGCTCCACTTCGTTCACGTCGTAGACGTTGTTAATCCCCGCTGTCTCGCTGGATGCTGCACCTTGACGTTCTTCTTCATCAGGGTGCAACGGGAGCAGTTGTGGATGAGGAATCAAGTTGCGTAGCGTACAATACGCGAGTAGATCGCGTCGAAAAACGTGAGTAGGTGGCAACGATAGTATCGCTTTTGACAAACTATCGTCAATAGCAACTTGGCGCTGAGCATTCGCCTCAGGAGACCAAACACCACGAGGTGTAGCACCAGTACGAAGACCCATTTTGCAACCGCTTAGATGAAGTCTACGCCTCTGTTAAGGCAGTAACGGAGACTGAGATCATCTATATTTGACGGAGCGTTCCTCGCGGTCAAATCTCGTCATAAATTCTGCCAAATATTCATTTATCAAAAAAAAATTGTACGTCGTTCTTGCGTCGTTGTGTAGGTTGCTTCAGCATTTGCTCTATGTAACGTTGTGTACATGAGAGCACGTCTTGCATTTTTTCGAGAACGCTTTAGGGACGAACTCTTGACATCGGCAAGAGCTGCATGGTCCTGGTGGAGTAGGCGCAGCTGATGCACGTCTCTGAGAGCCTCCTGACGACTCGAATTGCGCGATTCCTTCCATTGCCTGATCGATAGCATCGTACAGACACTGAGCAGCACGTGGGTGTTGAACAGCTCCATTCAAAATCTCCTCGGGCGTGAGTTTCTGGCCGTAGAAGTTGCTGTTCATCTCTGTTCGAGCCGTAATGACGGCGCCATGTAGCGATATGCCTGCAAACAGTCCTCGACTGTGAGAATAACTGTAGTTGGCGTTAAAGCCTCCTCGACTAGCAGCAGCTTGTGCTAATGCATCGCGTCCATAAGGCCCAACTGCGACACTGAGACCGCCACCGACGTTTACCTGGGTACGGTGAAACACCTTGACAGCGTTTTTAGAGCCCATAATGATCATAAACTCTATAAGTTCACCTCCACCTTCGAGGCCTCCGCCAATACCCGCGGTACCAATTGCGGACGGCGCAGACCACGAGCCATCATCAAGCTTGGCTATCACAATACCAGTGCCCATCTTGGCTGTGATAAGCAGTCCAGCCTTAATAACTGTGAGGAAAGCGATGCCTTGTGCTCGCTTGAGGAAGCTAACGGGGATGTAGCGATCGCTATCCGCCCCGAAGTCAGGGCGGAAGAAGTTGCCTAGAATATCAGCTGCAGAGCGGCAAGCACTCTCCAGCGACCGACTATACGGCAAATGTAGTCGAGTCTTAGCCTCGTGCGGGTTCTCCTTATGGCAATTGGCGTATTGCGTGTTCAGTCCGTCTTGGAAATACTGCAGAATCGGGGCACATATCGTGCAGACCCGTTGTGGGTGCGCTGGGTCATACTTTTTCTTCATACTCTCATGTGCTACTTGGTCTGGTGAGATCAACATTCTCGCTGGAGAGCAGGAATGACACACACTCGCGCCACATTTGCGGCAATGGTGTCTCCGTCGTTTAAGATCGAAAACCTCGCTGCATATAGCACATTTTGGGTTCTCTGCATACCGGCTCATCGTCAATCTGGACGCTGGTCCTGTAGACGCAGGAGCGAGCTCTCCGCTCGTATTACTCGACGTATCACTTTCAATACTATCGCGTCGGATCAATTCCGACGCTGAATACGGCCGTCTGTCCCCTGACGGTCTCATTTGAGTCGGTAGCATTGAGTTTGTGGCTACACCTGAGCTGGAGATCGGTCTTCGAGCATGAGAGGAAGCTCTACTGCCTGTACTAGTGCCCACAGCTGTAGATCCTCCTGCTCGCTTGCTCTTGACGTGAACTTTGACTAGTTTCTTCCTCTTCTTATCGTCCGGGATGAGTCTCGCTAACTGTGGCAGCATGTGCTCCAGCATAAGCTCACTGCCAAAATATGTACACAACCCCTCGTAGAACACTCGAGCCCGTAGTTCTCCCTGTCCGTATTGCTTGCAGTCCGATTTAAAGGCCGAGACAACCTCGTCGTGTTCCCTATTAGCACCTCGAACGGCTGCGAGCATTCTTTTGTAAATAGCAGCGGCTTCCTCCCCCGCTGCAGCCGGCGGGACATCGATCTTCTCTTTCTCCTTGCTCTTATCTCGTTCTTTTTCTTTACTGCTTCCTCGTTCTTTGTCTTTATCTTTGGGCTTCTTCTTCTTGTTGCGGTCTTTGGGGATATTACGGCGGCTGATGCCTGCAGACGTGGCAGAGCTGCCCACAGCGTGAGTGGAGAGGACAGAGGAGGCGCCAGGGAAGCGGAAACCGCACTGCGAGCACGAGCGCATGCCCGGGGAGGCCCCAGCGCGACAGGAAGGGCACGAAGCCATGCCTGCAGCCGTTAACGTCGGAGTGATGATCAGGCCAGTTCAGCGGACTGAGCTATTTTGACCAATCATATGGCTTATTGACGTTGAATTTTGGTCAATCATAAGATGCGTCGTTTCGCGGTAGATGGCTACACGGTTGTGTGGAGACGGTCTTTGGCTTACAGTTTGTGTCTAGGACCCCACGTCGCTGCTGACGACGCCAACTCTGGTCAGACTTCATGTTTTCTGGAACACACGAACCATCGTTGGTGCGACTAAATCGACGCTAGCAAGAGCGTATTTACGTCATACGGCAACGATCAAGGAGGAGCGTACACCGTCGTCAAATCAGGGCAGCCGAAAAGTAAATCGATGCTGCAATTATTGCAATAAATTTGCACCGATAATTTATTTTGTAACTTTAACGCTTAGCTAACAGTTATATATTGAGCTTAAACTCTTGACTTCAATACTGTATTGGAGTTCTCTACAACCAACCATACCAATTTTCGTGAAGCTCTTCCTCCTCACTCACACCACTTGCAATCTTACCGGAAGCCCAAGCCCCTTACCTTACGACATGCTCCCTTCCGCTCGCACCCAACGCCCTGCCACCTTCACCAACAAACAAGTGGCCAACTTCTTCTTCCGCCCGTGCCGCGACCAGTACGACGAGGTTATCCTTGGGTACTTTCGCTGTCGGTGCGGTGGGGTCCGGTAGCGCTCCCCTGGCTCGGGGTACACGAACCTGACCAATCATTCGCCAGCAAACACGGTGGGGTTTCACTTTTGCGATGCTCAATCGTTTTTTTGAGCTTCTTCCATTTATGGACGCTGACGATGAAGAGCTCGCGGAGCTGCTGCCCTCGCTCAGGGTAAAGAGGCGTATGAAGAACGTTCTTGGTGAGCTGAAGGACGTTGAGTCCGTATCCAAGGCGCTACAAGGCGGTGACGTCAACTTGCTTGTGCGAGTGTGGTTCGACAGTCTCATCGCGAAAAAGGAGTTGTATTCCACCTATCTAGGTACGTACGTGCCTTTAGTGATATTTACTTATATTTACAACTTTTTGGTGTCAAATAATGGTTATTGTGTATGCAGCTCCAAGAGCTAAAATTGTTACAGCCCTGAGTTCGAGTCCGGCTGTGTCCGGGTGCTGAAGGGCCAAGCCTTGCGCTGGAGGCTTTTCGCGTCAGTCCCGCTGCGCAAGGTAAGCGACAGGGTGATGACGACGAGGCGGGAGCCTCGTTCGTTGAGCGACTTCAAAAGCGTCAACGCCTGTAGCAGCACCAACCAGATTATGAGCTGCTGAATAGGATTCCGCCGACCTCGAACGTTGTCGACCGCTTTTTCAGCGTCGCTCGGGCAACGTTCGGGCTGTAACGGCACTCTCGGCAGCCGTATACGCTGGAAATGCTTCTGTTCCTGCGTCAAAACGAGAGATTTTGGGATGCCCGTACGGTCGAAACGTCTGAATAGGTGAGCGCGATAATTGGTCAATGAATCTCTATTATATCGACTATCTATTTCTTTGTTTCTCTTAGTGCAATAATTTATCGTTGATGTCAACTAGCTCGTGACAATTATCTATCTTCTCTTGGTAGCTACAATAGATTAAGATACAATTTTCGGTAGCCCTGCATCAAATTGCGTGAAATCCACATTCGAAGTGACTTCGAGTTGTTTCGTTATCCTGCGGCTACGAGCTTTGGTGTTCCACCTGATAACCTAATAAATGGACTTTCGTGGACAATGACATTTGATGTTCGCAACTCGAGTCAGCACACGTTGCAGGTGCAAGTTCGTGGAGATGCCTCGGTGAATGTCACGGTTCCAGAAAGTAATTGACAGAATGGTGCACTGAAGCGTTACATGTTTTATTCTCTGTTGGTGCAGGGACGTGCACGCATGGCGAACGTAGGCTACGATGATGCGTTATCAGAGCATTTAGGAGTTGAGGACTAGGACTACACGGCCACTGTGCAAAGGTATTTTGGATCGTCATTTTGTCACTGGGTTAACGCTACCACGTGTGCGTAGTACTGTTTGTGTATGTACCTTGCAGTAATGATATTGTGATAATTGGAATGCTACTACTGGCACCATAATGTCGCGGTGAGAACATCACGCCAACCGTTTTAACACTGGTATTATGATGACTACAATCACGACATACAGCTTTGTTACGATAGAAAATCTGTTACTTTCTCCAAGCGGCCCCACAAGTTAAGGCGCTATCTATCACTTCGAAAATAGCATATTACAGAGAGTATAGATTCATGGGAGAGTCTGCAAGTTTCTCGATATTCACAGGAATTTAGAGAAAGTGTTGCGTTATATGGGCCTCTGTGTTTGCTTCTCTAAGCTGGTCAATCACTTGCGCTCGAGTTTCGTGCAAAGAAATCATATCGTTGGCTCTGCTGGCCGTGATATGTATGGTGTGGAATTACTCAGTTAGGCGAGGTGTCGGCCATCCGTTGCCCGACATGCCGCTGGTTTTTACTATCCGAGTACGCACTTCAATCAATGATGATGCTGGGAGTCACAGTTGCTCTGAATTTCACCATCGCGCAGCTGAAACTAGCTATTAATTACGACATGAAACTCGAACAATTCCAGTGAGTTACCACATTTACTGGTTATGATCAACACTTACCCTGATATACAGCTAACGACTGGATCCTTTTTTTATAATATAGGCGATTTCGATTCGTGTTTCTTGGCTACTTGATCATTCCTACATTCCTGTTACTGCTAAAATATAAGAGAATGTACGTCTTCCATATGAATCAAGATCATGTGATTTCAATCATTTCTTCTGCTATGGATCAGCTTTTGGTGGTCACACCGCCAGATTAATGGCGATACGTTTGCGTTAACACACCACTTGCTGAAGTAATAACACTTGTCATTGTAGTCAATATTGGTCTCTATAAACCGGTACATTTACTCGGGTACGCAAAGTTCCAGGTATAATATACGAACAACTAAATACTAATGAAAAAAAAAATTGCAAGAAATACCTCCCCTGTTGCGAGAAACTGTGATAATTCAGACCCCATCGATCTACCACCAATAGAAGGGGCTGCCCGACCAAATCCGGTTTGAGCTTCAGCCAACTCAACGGAAAATTATGCACCACTGACTCCTATCGAGTATCCAGTTTTAATCACCGGCAGCAAGATGCGTGGCTTGACCGTTATTGAAACTGATAGCGATTTCGAACATGCTGGGCTTAGTGAGGATACTAAGTTTGTCGTCATGAAATTACAGGCGTTTATTCGTTTAGTAACGGAAATACGGAATAACACCACTGCCCGAATAGTACCCTCATGGAAATTCAATTAATTTTGTGCAGTTTAGTCACTCTAGTAGTTTCTACTACGATAAATGACTCAAATCCTTATTCAACCGGGTCAGAATAACCTCTTTTATCAGAAAAAAAGTCGACAATAAGATTCTAACACCAGTGGCTAGTTCAACTAACTCAGTTATAGCTTATGCGAGCAGATTTTTGGGTACCAAGTTTCTACTCATGTCATCGAATACTACTGTACAAGTACCGATATTAACGATGGTTTTAAATGCGATAGGATTGACGGTTGAGTTGGTAGCAGAACTAAAAGGGTAGCTGTAACGATTAGTAAAGAGTAACTTTCTGCCACATCATTGTCGC